CTCTCTCTCTCTCTCTCTCTCTCTCTCTCTCTCTCTCTCTCTCTCTCTCTCTCTTCGATCGCGTGTCCTCTCTCATTTATGATAAGCCCGGGGTATATCCTGGAGTCAGCTTTTGTCGAAAGTTTGCAGCGGAGTTTCTTCTTCCTCTCGCGTTCTTCACTTGGAGGGTGGGGATTACTCGTCGGAATTATCGTTGAGTGGGATTCATCCCGTGTTGCGGGCTCCCAGAAAAAGCAGATTTAGACAATTTCGGAGCTTCGATAATATCGACTATCGGTGAATTGCCGAGGCGGAAAAATGTAGCCTCGAGTACGAGCAGTTTTATGACAAGATCTCATATCTGTTGCCTCCTTTTTATCTTTAATCTTAATTTCCCATTCTTATCTTTATCTGAATAATGAATTTATCGAGGAAATATCCTCCGCGAAGTGTTAATAGTCGAATTTTTGTATGTCCTCCTTCGAGCCATTTAAACGTTACGTTTGACTTTGAAGTTTGCTTAAAACTGGGAAGTGCCGAGGAAGTATTAGCAGATTCTACCTGGACGTTGTTGCGCAATTAATCAGTTGAAGGGCACAGTAGCATTAGTCAAAGTTAACCAAAACCTTGTGCAAACTTCCTCCGTGAAATTGTCCACACGTGTCGCGTCGCTCTCCGGCGGCTTCACACGACATTCTTCGGACGAATTCATACCTCGGTAGAAAAGCCGAAAAACAAAAGCTAATTAGAACTCGCGCTAGTAGATGGTAGTCAACAGTTTCTGTTTTTCTATCCCTGCGAGTTCTGACTGGCCTCTGCCTTTCTGTTGTTAGCTTCTCTGCCCGAATTCGCCTTTACAGGGACTTCCAGTCTCGAGGAACGCGAGCGATATTTAGTTAGCCATTATCAGCCGTCTTTCCTCCTTTCAAAAGGGATTCGCATTCGCGGAAGCTCTGTGTATGTTATGTAAACAGAATAAATGACGGGGGGTTCTTCCACGGAGGGCGCCGGGCCGCCTGGCGCCGCCACCTCGTCCTCCCCGTCGTCAAGGAGGTCGGGACGGCAGGACCTCCTTCGAGGAGCCCCACGTTGTTTGTCCGCGCACCCCAATGCTGATCGCGAGCATCTCCTCGACGTGCCATTACGAGATAACGAGCCGCGCCACCACCGTTATCCTTTACGACTCTCCGTTCTCGTCGAACCGAGGGCAATTTAATCCACCGGTTTACGTCTGATCGATGCCGGACAGAAGCGAGGTCCGTCGCGCTCCGCCACCCCGAGGCCGGACTTCGTGGTCGATCGACGGAGGAGGACGGCCGCGATGTCGGAGTGATAGGAATTGAAATATCATTTCGACGGGCGCTCAATATTTCAGTCGGATACGGAGAAGCCGCCAAGGCGCGGCGGCGATGAAAAAATCAGGAGGAAGGACACGCGAGACTTTAATATTAATGCCTTGCGATAGCACGAACTGAAAAAAAAACGCGAACGGAGGCGTGCGCTGAATAAATTAGGAGTCCACTCGATGGACCGCTGAGAAAAGCGAGATTACTTCCCGTGTCTTTATTCCATCATCCCTGAACTCGGTGGAACTCAAAACGGAGAATGTGAAATTGAGAGAAATCGGCAGGATCGAGAAATGTTAATACGCGAAGTTTTATGCATTTTAATAAATCAGTAAGTCACGCGATGGGAAAAACGGAGTTATTTTCCGCATCTTTATTCCATTATCCCTTAACTTAATCAGCGGATTCAAAACGCAGAATGAAAAATTGAGAGACATTGACAGAATTAAGATATTTATGGACGAAATAGCATCTTAATAAATTAATAAGTCGATGGACTGCTTGAAAAAGCAGGATTATTTTCTATGTCTTTCCGTGTCTTTTGATCCCATCATCCCTTAACTCGATTCAAAGCGCAGAATGCGAAATTGAGAGATATCGGCGAAATTGAGAAACGTCAATGGGCGAAATCGTGCCTTAGAAACCAGCGTGGAGACGTATCGGAGGCTCGACGTAAATGCATTTACGCGAAAAGACATTTACAGAGCGAGATGGGCGCAATTTCGTCGGAAAATACGGCGAAGTGCGCGTTACATAAACCGTTGCCGGGAACGCCCGGATTATTTTCGCGTCTGTATATTAGTCCTCATCTCTGCGTCACGAGAATAAAGTATTTCGCGAAATAATGAAGTGACGTCCCGCGTGTATACATACGAATATTGGATTTCACCGGTTTCGCGCAGTTGAAATCTATTTAACGCGGCGAATTTTTATCTCCGGCACACTTGCGAATACAATGAAGATCTCAGTGTTATATGAAACTTGTTTCAGATATATCGCTCGCCCGTGCTGGCGTAAATTTCACGTAATTCTGTAACCGCGAAAAATCCTTGATATATTGCGGGACATAAATTTTCACGTAAAGAATATTATAAAATAACTCAATATTTCATAGTCTTCTTTGTGTAACACTTGTTTGGAAAATTTACTTATAAGAAAGGCGCAGAGCACACATGAAAGCCTGAATGAGGGAAGAGGCTGTCGGAAATATTCTCAAGTTTTTGATATTCATCGCGCAAGAAATTAATGCGCTCATATACTCATGATTTTTCTCGTCAATATTTGAAGTGAAATCGTAATCGATGATATTGTTTTTTGTCTCACCGCCAATGCTGATCAATTAACTACAACATTAGCTAACATCCAAGATAATCTTGTCCCAGTAATAGTTAACAAACGGGCCAAGATTTCAAAATAAGAAATAAATTGCTTTGGTATTAAGAATCAGTTGTATTGGCAAAATCATTCTCCGATACTGCTTTTGTTCGTTGTTGTCAATGTTGGACAGTTGACAATTAAGCACAGCAAGATATTACTCTCTTGTATCGAATCTATAGTGGCACAACGTAGGTGGTCAGTCATCACCACGACAGCAAACGACTCTGTCCTAATGTTAGGTCGTTTAAACATTTCTATGTTAGGTTCTGAATCCCGGTAGATCATGAATTTTGGTGTGAGTCGAAGAAGCTACAAAAAAGATTTTTAAGACAACGATTCTGGCAGTAAGATAAAAGTATCAAAATACGTACCTAATTCTGGACATTTTTATTATATATTTTGGCCTTTAGATACGAATATTTAAATTTTCTACACAGAATGTATGTACATACTCATACTTGTATATATTGAACATTTTATGTCAAATATTTATATTTTAAGACCAAATCGATAAAAATGTCCAGGATTAGGTGTTCAGTTATTGGTACTTTTATTTTAGTATCCAATTTTTTGAAAAATCGCGACGATCTCGCGACTGCGAGATAAATTTATTACGTAACAATTTATTACGCACGCGAGAAATCCCATTAATCCCAAAGTTAATTTCAAATAACGACGTGGTAGGCGGAAGGAGGGGGAAGAAAAGGGGGCTTGCATAAATTCCGAGGGTCATACGCGCGCGTCACACGAGGCGTTGAAATCGTGCTGACCGAGGGGTGGAGGGGATTAAGGGCGGACTTGCTAAATATTTTTACGTCACACATAAACTTTACATCGCGAGCGACGGGGCTATACAGTCGATCGATTCGACGGCGGGAAGGCACGTATCTAGAAGACGACGCAAGGAAGGGTAATCAGGGATGGATATAGCTGCCGCGACCCATTCGCTCACCCTCCCGTGACAGCGATTTTTCCGGAATATCTTCGGCCTAAGTCTTTACAACTCGACCTATATCCTTCCTTTCGTTCCACGCGTCTATCGATTGCTGCGCGATCCTTTAGCATTTCTCCGCGTGCGTCGTACGTGGAAACTCGCGTCACGCAAGCGGCGAAACAAACAAATCGCGCCAGCATTGCTGAAAAATTGTCCCACAGAGGAAATTCGGCGTTTGCCGTTCTCGGCTTCCATAGTCCTGGTATTTTCCCCCGCATAGAGATTTATTTATATCTACACTGAGAGAGAAAATATCTGAAAAATAGAAACACTCTTATTTGCGCTGGGTATCGATAACATACTTAAATCGAAATTCTTTTATTTAGAGAAAATAAATGATTGCTTTCATAAAAAAGCATTTTAAAAAACGCACATTTCCTTATTTAAAAAAATATTTTATATTAGTACAAGTAAACACGTTATTATATACATATCCATGGCGAACAAATGTTTTTTTACTTAAATATTCTCAAATATTCTTTTCTCTCGTTTTATATTTATCTTTATATATTTGTACACACAATTTCATTTCTCACAATTGATTTTACACGCGGTTGTAAAATTATAACTTTTCCATTTCCACGTTTTGAAACATTTGAGCAAATTCGACGAGAAACAATTGGCAAAGAAAGCGGGCGAACAATTGATTTATGGAGATAAAATGAAGTTTCAAATTAATATCGAAGTTAGAGATGAACTGAACGTCTTCGATGTTTGACGTTCACGAGCGCAAACGCGCTGCCATCGTCGGCGGGTCGCTCGCGAGGAATCGCCGGGAACCGTTACGAGGCAAAGTCGTCCGAGTGGAAGGAACTGCTGCGAGGAGTAATCTCTGGTGTAAATGGTCCCGACGACTATCTCACCGCGCATCCAGCTATTCCCAACGGTGCCTCACGAGGCTCAAGACAAAAGACTGTCGAGAATGGAGGCGTCGTCGACCGTCGTGTCTAGTCGGCCGGGAGACGCGAAATCCGTCGGGAAGCGCCGAGTCTCGTGAAGTGGAGCGTAGTTTTTCGCGAGAGAAAACTTCCCCCGAAGTCGGGGGTTTTCTAATTTTCTCTTCGGCCTGGAATCTCGGTCGGGCGATCGCAACTCGCTCGATTTCGGATTTAGATTTATGCAAAACACAATGGCAGCCCTCTCCCTCTCATCAGCGCGCAGATTGGCACTCGAGGATGCGACGCTTAGCTGTATATGCGCGAATATCCGGTTAGTGTTTGCCACTTGCGAACGCCGAGCGTGTGCTGAACGGGCGACAATGATATTCCCTTGGATCGTTTACCTGACAGATCAAAGAGCGCCCTTCGCCGGTGCTCGAGCTCGTGCGAGCTTCTTCGCGAGCGACCCTTCGCAAAACTACCCGCGGTCCACGTGTATCGTAGCTGTCAAAGACGCGCGCAGCTCGTTGACGAGGCATCCATTGTGTAACGTGACTCATGTTGTACGCCGGCCGAACTATTTTCACCCCGATCGACGGGGTGATTATGAGGAGGCGTAGCTCGCAAAAGCGACGGGAACTTCAAAGCGCGGATCGAATGCCGTCACAAAGCCGGCGACTTCAATTTCCGCCGCTGCTTGCGAATCTTGCATGTCCCTTTGATTCGCGAATGAGCAATTAAAGATGCGATATCGTCTCTGTAAAGAGCGATTTCTCGTTATTAAATGGACAAATGAATGTTCAATCGCGAGTTTCGCAAAACGTCGCGGCATCGTCAATCCCTTTGAAGGATATAAGAAGGCAAGAGAAGTTTTTCTATTTACTTACTGTAATCTATTATTTACTGCATCATTTTATTACACTTCCAGCAATGCAGGAATAGACTGCCACTAAAGTCTACCTTTCCAAGAAACAACAAATTTCGCTAGAAACATTTTATAATAATTTGCTCACATTTCAGTTCCTAATGTATGAAGTAACTAATACAGAAAGAAATCGCGCTATAGGCGCACACAGAGCGAGGAGCTAATGGCTGATTACGAGCGCGGTTTTCGTCTTCCGGTTATTTGCGCCGGGGATTTACAGATGCTCTAAGTTTCCTCCCGATTTCCTCGCTCTAATACGGTCGAGAGGGGCGTAGGGGGTGCGCTAGAGCAGCAGGCGATCGATGAGGCCGTCTCTAAGGTCAGTCGTAAATATCAGATGCGTCTGAGCGATTACGTTTGGAGGATCGGGTCTAGAGGCGGCCGTTAGTTCAGCTGACCCTAATTGCTCATTTTTGCTCTCGTCCTTGACTTCGGCAAGACAGATTCCTCCTCCCGACGGTGACATTTCGCAACCGAAGGATCAAGTCCCCGCGGTTTCGTTCGGTTGTTCAAGTCGCAATTTAAACTTGCACTCGCAGCGAAATTATTACTCCGGAAATTCAATTGTCTCGAGAAGTGAAATATTTGATTCGAGCTGGTAGCTAACTCGATGATAAATTTATAGTAACCTTCCGATGAGTCGTTACGAAATTTTAAGATAATTATCTTGATGATTAATAATCTTGCCTGACGAGGTCTTGGGAATTAAATTTCTGGTAGTTAAAATCAAAATTTTAATCGAGAGATGAGAAATACATCAAAATATCGAAAAGATGCACGGAGAGAATTTTAGTATAGCAAAAATTTCTGTAACCAAAAAATAAACATTTCACAGTAATTCACTATCCTCTCATTCTATATGTGCTATTTTATATTAGGGATTGAAATATGCTGTGAAAAAATAAAAAGAAATGTTTCTAATGAAATTTATTGTTTCTTGGTAAGGTAGACTTTACTGGCAGTTTATTTCTATATTACTAGAAGTATAATAAAATTATACAGTAAGTAACAGTAGATTATATAATAAAAGTGTATAGAAAAATTGACATGAAAAAATGATAATATCCTCTCTATATAAGGATTAATTGTCTGAGGAAAAAGAAGAAGTGATTTCGGTGGCGGACGCAGACGCGAATTTTAGGACGATCTCGCAAAACGAGAGATTAATGAAACGTAAGAAGAGAAGCAATAAAGAAATCCGTACGTCGCGAGAACGTTCCGGGAATGGGCTATATTTTTTCGTTTCGCATCTTCTCTCGAGATTCCCGGTCGAGGTCGAGGCTTGTGAAGTGCTGGAGACGATGGTACCGACAGAATTAGAGGATTGTGGGCGACGTTGAGGGCTCGTGGGGGAAGTCGAGATAGCGGACCAAAAGTTAAACTTACTTTGAGGGCTTCCTCGTGAGTGACCGCGCGGAAGGGTGTGCCGTTCACCTCCAGGATGGTGTCTCCTGGCCTGAGTCCAGCGCGCTCGGCCACCGAACCCTCCTCCACCCTCGAGATGTAGACTCCCACCCCTGAAAACAATTCGCAGACTTTCCATCAGGCCGGAAGCTGCCGCGCTGCCGTTTCACGATCGGTGCCAGCTAAGACCTTCCGCCCATGACGCGCCCGAGCGACTTTCATTCCGCTTTATAAAACAAGCTCCCTCGATCCTTCGCGATCTTGGACCCGGATAAATAGGAAGGACTTCTATTTGGCAATATTAAAACGAATACAGAAATCCAAAAACGCGTGACTCGCCCAATTTTGACTTTTATTTTCATAAAAGAACACGCTATGCAAAGTGACTAGGTTTTTTTTCTTTTCTTTACCGATTTTTGCAAACAGATCAACGCTCAAGGTGTCTCAGAACGCGCGTGCGAATGACGTCTCGGAGACGAGACTCGTGGAGGTAGAGACCTCACGCGCACGTGGACGTGATCTCTCGACAATTATCGGGCAGATGTCGATAAATTAACGTTTACATCTAAGATAGAGGGTGACGTGTGTACACGGTGTGAAGGCGAGAGGGAGGACCTGTTGGGTGTTATGTAACAGGCAAATTGACTTTTTGGCAAACTTCCCCGGTATACTTGTTGAATCGGATATAATAAACGCCATGGGCAGAAATATCGTGAAAATAAGAGAGGAGAATGAAAAAAGACGTATGCGGATGCACCAAAGTGAGAAGTGGATACAGAAAACAGCGTGTGTGTATGTTTCCATGTGTGCACACATGTGCGCGCGTGCGTATCTGACTGCTTCGTGTCAGAATAGATGCATGTGTATCTGTATGGGTCTGTATGTATTTATAACAGAAAAAGAGGCATGCATAGATCCTTCGAAAAGTCAAGAATAAATGTGATTGCATCGCATGATGTGCATCGTGCTCGCGTTATGCAGTTACGATATTTCTGTATCGTATATTATTTATGTGTATACGTACGTATATAATGTATACATACGTACCATATGTATATTTATGCACGTTCGTCCGCGAATATTTTCCATTACATTTGGGAAAGCAATAATCGATAGCGGCCGATGGCAGCTCTCCGAGCGGTGCCCGTGAATTTTTGATCCGCGACGATAATGGAGTCTGCACGGCGTGAAAAAATGCTCTCTTGCAGATGACGTGAAACGATAAGACGGCGACGGCACTGATGGAGCTCGACTGACTTCGCGACGAGAGCTCGCTCGCGTCGTGGCTTACGCGAGAGAGAAAATTACATTCCTAATATCTTTTTCGCGTCTCGTGAATCTAATGTTTACAGCGAGAAAATGGTGGATTTGACAGATTGATTGTATTAACGAGACACTCACGCACACATACAAACACACACACATACACACATACACTCACAAAACTAAGCACGTTTTGGTTAAAATAGAGACTGTCCACTTAATTGTTTTGGAGTTCTTGTGAATCTTCTTATATATTTTTTTATATAATTGACTCAATTATCCACAATTAGAAAACACATATGATTGATACGACTCAAATTGTATCGCGAAATCGAAACTATCCAATCTCCTCCAAGCAATCGAAACGTCAATATCATTTTTCGGAGTGGAATTTTCTGCCGGCCTATGTAGTGTCCGTGAGACATCCAGTTGTGTGTGGGAGGACGTGTCTGTCGTGGAGAAGCGAGAAAAAGACATATGAAAGAGAAACAGAGAGAGAGAGAGAGAGAGAGAGAGAGAGAGAGAGAGAGAAAATGCGACTACCAGGGCGCGGAAGTTGGTGAGATTTCACAGTAAGCTCGCCCGCTCGAGCGGTCGAAAGTGCATTAAGGCAGGGCCTCAGGGATTTCCTTCGAATATAAACGAAATCTCCCTTCCGTTGTTCGTGTTGTTAGGATGCTGTCTGACTCGTCTTACGAGGTACACTCTTCGTAGCCGGCGAACGGGTAGGCTCATCGTGAAATCTCACGTACTCTCCTCCAGCCGTTCTGGCGATGACACATCGCACCGCGTGCTCGAATTTCTGCGGCTCATGGCTTGTTTATCGCCTGTTTGCGCTGGTAGCGTATTATCGGCGTCGGTTGTCCTCATTGAATAAAGAATACCAGGGAGGAGCATATTGCGATATACCGTGGGTAATCGATTGTGTTGCATTGGTTCAGTTTAATGACGTAAACTACGTCTTAAGTGACGTTAAGAAACATAATCTGGCGGTATACTTTAAACATCTTGGAAGTATATAGCGAAGGAATATTAATTTTAAAAGAATAATAGAAAAATTATATTTATATTTTGCTCATATTGGTGAGGGAAATAAAATTAGTCACTTGTAATAATTTTCTCTTCAATACGTTTACGCACCTTTGTCTATTCGATTAATTGACAATATTACGTCATAACATTTACTTCGATTCCATAGTATCGATAATCGCATTTGGTTCACTTTCATTATGTCACATCCTTCGCACTTCTAACCAAGGATTTTCTCTTTATGCTCCTTCCTGGTATTCTTTATTCAATGGTTATCCCCGTCGAGGTCAACGCGAATCTTCCGGACGAGAGAGTGAGAGAGAGAGAGAGAGAGAGAGAGAGAGAGAGAGAAATAGAAAGAATCTAACGATCGGTCGAGATGAAAGTAGTCCATGTGTGCAGTTGGTTTTCGTATCGCCGAATGTATTCGCGAGATGGGGGCGCGATTAGAATTTGAGAATTCTCTACGATGTTCTAATCACAATTCAAGTCCTTCAATTTTATTCTACCATCGTCGTATACAAGGTGTTTCGTGCAATCCAGCCGAAGTTTTTCTGGTTTCTTTCTTCACGCGTATTATATTTCCAAATAAAGTCTTTCTCCGAGCTCAAGCATAATTTTCTTTCCAGAGGAGATTTGATTAGAGTTTGAATTTTCCTACACCGTTTGAATTTTCCGCATTGAACGCCTCAGTGTTTGCGCGCCGTTAATGAAATTTACATTTTAACAGAGCTGGTCCAGAAATTATTCAGGAACAGAGCTCGGTTGTGCACTCAGAAATATCATCGCAATCGATGATGATCTGACCCAGCGAATCCGTGACAGATTGCTTTTCTCTCGAATGTTTTTCATGGCTGCACAAACCGATCGAAGATTCGCGTCACGAAGACACCCCACGTACGAAAATCATCCGCAGAGGATGAATTCGCGTATGGCAGGCCCGAAAACGTGCGCGCGAGAAAATATCGATTTCCATTTTAAAAAAATGACACTTCTGTTAAAACTCGACACGCGCGCCCTTCATCGCCATTCCGAACGTTCTGCTTTACGCGCGCGGCACTGCATTTGATTTTGCGAGCTTTGTGAGTGACGAAAGTGTGGGCTCTCTCTTCTACGAGCTCATACACACACACTACACGGATATGCATTGTACACCCATGCAACGAGCTGTCGGCGTGCCAAGTCTAGAGAGAGGAAGTAGCTTTCTGACAGATACTCGTGGTGCGATGCGTTAACCCTCCTTTCTCTCGTTGAGTTACCTGACTGCGCTTCTGGTACAGCGAAACAGAAAATAAGAATGACACAACGCATGTTGGCTTATTCTCGAACCCAGCCGCGGACGATGGCGAAATCCGCAGAAAGCTCGAGCGTCAAGTTCAATGAGCCGACTAGATGCGAAAGCGGAACTGCGCTCCGCGCTATTTCACGGTGAAACGGCGAAGTCGCGAGCGACGAAGCGACGTGCCGCAATTTTGTCAGATGCAAAAGTAATTCTCGTCGCGGATCTTTAATTATACGTATGTGTCTGATGAAAAGTTGTGTATGCGATGAATTTATACGGGATAAATATTTAAAAGAGAATTGCGAGCGAGCTAATTAAGTTAATTCGCGAATTGTCCTCAGCGGCTTTCGCACTCTCAATAAAGCGCAGAAATTTCGCGTGAGCTTTCGCGGGAGGAGCGATTATTAAATCTTTCCCCGTTGCGAAATCGCAATTTCGACGACAGAGAAAGATTTACGCGCGAAGCGTAATGAAACTCTCAATAACCTGAGAAAAAGAGCTCCGCCGGCGCGGGCCGGCACTTTTTCTGACTCTCTGCGAATTTCAGCATCGTTTGAAACAGTTTTTTAGTGGCGCTATCCGCGCGCGGCGGGCAAAACGGACCTTTTGGGACCGCCCGCGGAGAAAGTAAGAGAGAGAGAGAGGGAAAGAGAGAGAGAGTTTTCCGGAATTTGGTGGTTTCACGCTCGAATTTACGGCGATGATAAAGCTCGTCAAGCGATATGGTAACCAGCGCGCGTGTGTGTGCAGCGTCAGTGCGTGATCAAGCGTGAGATTTGACACTCGCAGTCTCCCCAGCGTTCATTGTGACAGATCGTGCTGTCGAATCGTCCCGCGATTCTGATTTCCTCCGTGCCACCCGCATTTTTCGCGAATCTCTTTGAATTCCTCGAAAAGAATCCAAAATATTTATATTTATATTTATATATTTATATTTATATTTATATATTTATCTATTCATTTTTTATTTGCACATCTGCATTCATACGGGAAATATCAAGAAGGAAATATTGCACTGAGAGAAAAGCAATCCAAAAAATAAAATAGTATTTATTTGATGAGCACTGATAATATATTTATTTATATCCGAATTCTTCTATTCAAATAGAACGAGACTGCTTGAGAATGCAGTTGCTTTCGTGAAAAGTTAAGCTTTTTGAGAATGTATATTTTCTTATTTGAAAAATGTTTTGTATATCAGTATAAGTGAATATGCTATTTATCGCGAATAAATATTTTTTATTTCTTAGATATTTTTTCTCAGTGTTGAGATTGAAAGAGATGTTGCGAATCTAAAAAATGTTCGCACTTTTAATGTACTATTTTATACGATAATTGTTCTCTCTAGAGATTCTCGCGGAATAAACAGACACTTTCAATGTCGGGAAAAACATTCGATGAAAATTTCATATTTTCCGAACGGATACTACGCCGGAGAGTGTGTCGCGAGTTAGTCTGGTTTATCTTTGAGACCGCGAGGATTAATAGGTACGAGGTCGTGGAAGCGGATCGCTTTTGTTACTTCAACGGCTTTGAGACAGCACCCTTGCCTCGTCAGGCGGATCCTGCACGAGGTCCTTCTTGCTCAGTTGTGAGGAAACTCTCTGGAAAATGCGCGATGTGCTCATCCCTCGAGAACACGAGTCGGAAAGTGCTTGGAGTTTAACATATTGAAAACTATTAAGGGGACAATCGCGTTAGATCGTGAAGGTAATCCGTGGAAACGGGCGTTTTTTACGTTCTATAATAATCGTTCTTCTCCATTACGGACTTTTGATCCCTTTTGTGAAAGTGGTGAAAGTAAGGAATGTATGTTATGGAAGAATAAATTTCAGATTAGAATTAACGCGATTGTTATTGCACGTATACATTCGAGAAGTGAAGGGGTGGACATTAGAGTTGTTTACATCGAGATTAATCGCGTTACGCTACGAGGCGGCGAGATAAATGGCGGTCAATTTGCGAAATTGCAGCAGCTGCCGTGGGCAACTAACGCGTGGGGAGTTTGTATTTTTTCTTGGACGATCGAGTTTTCCAGAGAGATTACCGAGCGAAACGACGACGGTAAACTCCGGTCGTGCGATTTGCGGCGCAAACGCGTCTCGATGGATCGATAGCTCATTATCGCTTCGGCCATCGAACGACGAACTGACCGGAGTTCCATCCCTCGTGACGAAAGAGTGAAAGAGGCAACAAGAAAAATGGTCAAAAGAAAGGAGAAAGAGTCTACAAAACGCGCTCCCTCTCTCACCGAGTTCGCGTGCAGGCAATCGTCACTGTGGCGGAAAACGGTGCTTAACAATCGTGAAAATGTTTTTCCTCTGCTTTTTCGCCCCGGCGAATGTCACGATGGGAATATTTACTCTCCGTCGCAATCCGCGAATAAATATCTCCTCTAATTCACGTATATCATAAACACGATCGAGTGTCCATTTTCGCTACAGAGTAAACAGATTAATTATTCTTGGATTTTTAAATCCTTATATTTTCTTGTCTCTACGCCTAATCGCAGCGAACTCGCGAATTCAACGATCTCGCGTGGAGACTCCGAGAGAGAATGTCCTGTATTTTTCAGGAGAGAGATAAGGAGCAAATTGAGTCCCATAAAGCTGGCCACACACACTTTTCGTAACAGTAACCGTAAGACGTAACGTAAGAATTGACTAATCATGTTGAGAATCGTCGGATCGTAAGGTCGCCATTTTTATGAATACTCGATCGCAATTGGTCAATTTATATGTTACGTCTTACGGTTATTGTTACGAAAAATGTGTGTGGCCAGCTTAACTCTTCCATTTATTACACAATATGATCGAGGAGGAGGTGTATATAACATCGGTTTGGCATAATTTAACGTCCGCTGTCGCGAGGACTGAAGAGATGCGCGAGGACGATTCGCTGATCATATGCTGAAGCACGCACAAGCGCAAGGTGTCGAGATACGATATGAGTGCCGACCGGGGTGACTTAGGCACGCAGCACGAAACAGTTACAGTTAAAGGAACGATTTGGCAGAAATCAGTGTGAGGCGAGTCATCTGGCGGACCGGTCGATTCATAGAGGAAAATTCGCGCGTCGCGTATACAGACTTCTTCTCAGTAATTTTATACATCATATAACGCGACTTTTGGCGATCGTTTGGTACATGTACCAGGTTGTCTTTGGCCTAGTTTACATAAAAAATTTAATATTTATTATTTACTAAATAACGTGTACAACATAAATATCTAAAATACATTCTGGAGGCGTTCCAGATATATCTGGATATCTCTTGGATATATTTTGGGCATTTGTACTGCATAATTATTTAATATTAAATGTTTGGTGTAAACTTGTTCAACGGCAAGCTGGTATATGTGCCAAACGATTGCCGAAAATCATCTGTAATCAAATGCGTAAAGTCACGTTTTTTTCTAATATCACAATTTATTGAAATCCTTGCCACGAATTTACTTGTTATTTTTTTTATCTTTCGTACCAACCGGTATCATTGCTTTCTTATTAATAAGGATTGTCATAGATGTGAAAATTCATAGCGCGCGAGATTTTGTCGAGATTTATCGCTAAAAGTTTAGCAAAACGTACGACCTCGTATTTCAGCGCGAATTTATGCAGATCTGTGAGGTCGCGAGCGGTCACCTATAGACGGTGTCAATTCGCGGTAACGCGTTTGACGTCAACTTGTCGCAGGCACCGCGATCAAATTTGCGGCGGCATATACTCCGCGCTTACGCTTTAGGTTTAGCAACATCCGCGGTTTACGTTCACGTGAACAGCGTAAAGCTAGTTTAATCATTCTTGATGTTGTAACTATCGACGTTGCACAAACAATCAAGTTTTAACTGTACGATACGTGATACTAGCAGCATCGAGAATGACAGGATCAGCTTTATGCAGCATGGATATTGTCAAATGAATTTTAGATTATCGTACAAACACGCTCAGATAGACAGATAAAATCGGCGCAGCGATTTCAGCAGTCAATTCGTGAGGGCTGCATCCCTCATAAGTGGCTTATATGTTACTCATACACTGAGAGATAAAATATTTAAAAAATAAAAAATACGTATTCGGCGCGACTTAGCTCTGAATTTTTTTAATAGAATAAGAAATAGATTTATCTGAATAAAATAAAATTGCTTTCATGAGAAACAGCGATTTTGGGAAAATGTAAATTCTTTCATTTGAAAAAATGTCTTCTCAATGGAAAAGTATATATATTAATACAAATGAATATGTCATTTGTACACTGTTAAATCCGTAGTGTCAAATTATACTCAATTTGAGTTATTTTTAACCATTCCTATAAGTCGCCACTGCTCCTACTAAATATGTCGTTAATTTAACTAATTAATGGAGTTAAATAATTTAACTTAAGAAATGTATTAAATTTGACTAAAATTTAGTTTACTTTTTATTATGTGCACGTTAATGTAACCTTTGTTTTAGTAAAAAATGACTTAATATTGTTTTAAATGGGTTGATTAGATGTGGTTGTTTTTTTAAACACATGTTTTGTGTTAAAATAGTAAATTTTGACACACATGATAGTTAAAAATAACTAAATATTATTTAACTCAAGAATTTGATTTAAATTTGATCCTTCAATATTTAACAGTGTACCCATCAAATAAATATTTATTTTTTTTTTAGATTTTTTCTCTCAGTATATTTGTCACATAGAATGACAAAATTAAAAAAATAGGAAAAAATTATCACAATTTACCCAAAACAATGTATCGTGTAGTGTGAAAATCCAAGTGTAATCTTATTAAATTTATTGCTGCGCCAACAAAATAAAAAATTCATATCCTTATATGATGTTAATGTTCAAAGATTAATTTAATATGGTATATTTGCTTCATAAGTGGAATTGAGAAAAGAAATTGCAAAGTTCCCATCTGTCTATCTGGGTAGCCGTAGATCCTCGACCGCGTGGTAAGACGAATTTTCACCGAGTGTCGAGACGCAATCTCATATACGGAATATGCCGGTCAGCCTTTTCTTCTTTTACGGTCACACGCTTATCCCTCTTGTTCGTTTACGGTCGCGGATGCAACGCCAGACGACTCGCGCTGAGCGTATAAGTGGCACGTAACACGGCGCGATGACAGATATAACGAGGTGAGGCTTTCTTATTTTTTTTGTTTCGACGAGTGGCGATTAGTTAAGATCTAGCGTAGAGTAAACCGCTGGGAAAAGTACCTCGTTCTCGAGGCACGAAGTACGGCGACGGGGGTAGCCTGAAGGTACTTCGGATCTCACCTGCGTCCTTGCCACCCTTCACGCAGATGCCAAAGCCATGGTGAGAGTCCGGCGGATCTCTCGTCATGGTGATTGTCCTTACGGTGAGCTCCTGTAGACTGAGAGGCTGCGCGATCGGCGACGTAGGCGGGTTCGCGGCGTTCGCCTGCTGCTGCTGTTGCTGCTGCTGCGATTGCTGCTGTTGCTGCTGTTGTTGCTGTTGCGAGCCGGTGGTCGGCGTGCTGCGAACCGCCGAGACGCTCGCCGGACTGGACGCCGGCGTCCTCCGGTCGCCTTGACGACGCTCCGACGTCACGCTGTTGCCAAATAGCCTGCGGGACGTCGAAAATTATATATGTTTGGCGCACACATTGTCGCCTGATATATGTGCGTAAACATTTAATGTCTCATCGAGGCGAATGAGCGTGAGTTAGCTAAGTGTAGTTCGGAATCAAAAATCGCGGAAACCTTCGGGTCTTTGATTGAAGATCGCCAGATCTGCCCAAAGTCTTTCCAACTCTTTTCCTCCACACTGGAAGAAGAAATGGTTTTTTTGGCGGAAATTATAATCATTCCTGGCATCAACCATAGATTTTGTTCTTCCAACGAAAAGGTAACGGCGATATAATGTTATTATTGCGAGTACTATAACACTACTCATTGCCAAACTGCACCCCCTGCTTATAACCATCTCATTGTGCAATTACAGTCAGCAAAAATTACAGTCACAAATTGCAAACTTTTCTTTCGGTGTACAAGTCTGATCCTTCAGATCATCGGCCCCATCACCTTCCGGGTTCCGGCGCTTATCGTGTTAAGCTTCTTTGCGTTCGAGGACACCCTTACTTAAAATAATTAATCGAACCGCGACTTGTGTGCGCGTGCGGGCGCAAGTGTAGTTGTTCGCCGTCATTAGACCTTGCTCGTCGTTTTCGAGACGCTCGTACCTGAGCACTTGTTCCGGGGAAATGGCACCGGTGCCGGCGGCGCCGTGACCTCTGTGCCTGTACGGGGTCGCGTGCGAGGAGTGATGATGGGGCGCGCTGGGCGGCCTCTCGACGATGGTGTAGCTGGTGCCGGGTGGGCTGTAGTAGCCGCGGTGTTGGCCTCCATGGTGCCTGCTGGCCGGCTCGAGGTCCTCGGCTTCGTAGCAGCCGCCGGTGCCGCTCCTCAGGAAGTGAGAACCGCTGCCGCCGCGCAGGAAGTGCGTGCCGGTGCCGGCGCCCCACTGCAACTCCTGCAGCTCTGACCCGTAGTCCTCCGTGCTGCTGGCCATGCCTCGGGCGGTATCAGCTCGGTCACACCTGCCGGCCAAGCGAGCACGCGAGCCAGTCAACCGGTGGAATTAATCGCCCGCCGCGTGGAAAATATGCGAACGATTCTCTCGCGAATTCGCGCGAAAACAGCGCCGAACAGCGCGTGCGATTGATTGCGGGGATTTGAAGGAATTTTAGCAGATTAAGCAGAATAAGAGAAAAGGAGAGAGAGAGAGAGAGAGAGAGAGAGAGAGAGAGAGAGAGAGAGAGAGAGGTCCAAGTGGAAACACGAATACTTTGCCGATAATTCTGGGCCAGGGATTTTTAGCGAGAGTCGTCGTGGAAATTGGGAAATTCTGTTTCTAATCTTGAAACAATTTGAGAAAAACAGCAACAGAGAGCATAGTAGTAGCACAATATGCATGTAGCGTTATTATTAACATTGACACTATCCGAGTCGAAATTTTGGTTGCACATTAACCTTACAAATTCCGTCAAACAAGGTACTATATAGGTTATATTATCTGACTTTGATGCAATAAATGATCACTTAATATCATTTTCTGTATATGGAATTGTTCTTAAGAAGGACTTCAGAGTTATTTAATCTCTTAATTTTAATCTCTCTTTTAATTATATTAATATATATAATAAGTATGCAAGGATAAGTAAAAAATAACGAACATCCTTTTTTCTCATAATCTCTTTATTATTTATTTCTCTTCATATTGGCTTTGGAAATATATGTATATACCGCGCACACACATATCTCTATACATCTGAAAATATAACGACGCGCCGCAATCTACGTTCTGGCATCTGCATCTCCCGTTTCGGCTCATCGATGCAGCATCTTGCTCCTAGTTGCACCGTCACGGCACTCCAGGTACTGCTTCGTGGCATTGACACTCGCGCAGATGCAATTCAATCCGAAAAACACGTGTTAATTAATCGATCAAACGATCCTCCGCGGTCGACAGTTCGATTAGATATTACAAGAGGCGAGAAAAAGTTCTGTGTAAAATGCACAACTCGGCACCGCGGAGAAGCTGGCGAAGTTAGCACGATACTCGCGAAAAAAGTGTCGTGCACACTCTGACAACTTTTTGCAATTCTATCTATAGATATAATCAATCAAAATAATTTCTTAATCTTCGAAGCAAGCACGACGCTCGTGGAAAAAATGTCGTACGTCGAAAACAAGACGGAAGCTTCATTCAAGACGGAAGACAGTATTACATACTGATAGTATTACATACTATGAGAATGTCGTGCTAACTTCGAAGATTAAAAAATTATTTAAAAATAGATAGCCGTCGAAACTCTTATTAAATTTGATCGTAGAAACTAGAACTCTGTTAGAACTAACTAGAACTCTGTTAGAACTAACGAGAACTGTCAATAGAACCAGACATAGTCTGCATGATATTTTCTCTCGGAAGTGTCGTGCTGAGTGTACTATTCGAAGTTTATGAAAAAAGCATAATTGTTGAAATTTTTTTTCTTAATTAGACATTTTGATAGAATTCGATCAGAACTGAACTCTTGCTAAAAGTAGTAATATTTATTTTTTGTGCTTTAAAAAAAAATGTCATGCTAAATTCGCGAAGTTAGCACGACAATTTTTCATTTGCTGTTTTTTCGATATTAAAAACGCAAAGTTCTTTTTGTTTTCTATCTAGAACTCTAGAACTATGAAAAGTGTTAATAGAACTATCAGTAGCGTAGCCAGAAAAAGTTTCGAGGGGGCTGTACTTTTTATTTTTGACGAAAAAACGTCATTCGAAAAAATTTTTCTCACATTTAGCGTAACCCAGAAAATTAATTTTGGGGGCGAGGGGCTGCAGCTCTCTCAGCCCTCCTGGCTACGCCATTGAGAACTGTTATTGTTTTTTTTTAATCTGTAAAACGTGCTTCACAGGCGCGCGCCGCGCGATCCGTTACACGCTCCCAACGGCCGCGAGCGTCATTCTATGTTTGTTTAACATCCAATGAGATAAAGATAGAATGACGCTCGCGGCCGTTGGGAGTGTGTAACGGATCGCCCAAGACAGTAAACAAAAAAGGCAGAAACGTAAACACAGCCCGCGTCAATCGGCGCAACCGTCGTCGCTCCACCACTCAACGGCCGAGTAATGACAACAATCAATATGTCAAAACACCACGAGTCTTCAAGGCGGTCGCACCTACCTGCCTTCGCGCGACACGTGTTTTCAGTTCCGGGCCGGCGAGCGACGCACGTGTCACAGGCTCGTGGTGTATCGGTTATCATCCTCCTCGAGTGATTAGAATATTTCGTCGGTCATCGAGATATTTAATCGGACTCTTGTCAGCGTCGCGTTGCTTAACACGTGTGTCTTTAACCGCGAGTGTCTACGCGAGTGTCCAGTGCCACGATGGAGTAGCCGAGATGCTGATCAGGATGCTGAGATAGGGGACGCAGGGCTGTGGACAACGACTGTATATTTCCAAGGTATGCGAAATAATAATTTATTATGCAAAAGGTTTCTCCGTTTTTAACGAGCGAACTTGTCGGCAATAACCGAGTCGAAATTGAAGCCAGCATTCATAACGCGCGTCATGATTTGATGAATTATTGTAGCTCTATTACTCCTCAATTATTCGTTGAACTGCACCCACGCATATTGCATTATTCTGTGCAACAAGAAATGTTGATACGAACAGCTGAATGACGTTCATAAATACGAACTTGTAATTAATTATGCTTTCGTCGAAGATTGTAAATAATTCGCAACTGTGAATACTGGCTTTAGAATTTAATTTGAATTTCGCAAATATCTGCTGATTTTTACGTTTAATAATGCTTCTTCAGATTTCGAGTTCGTTTACATATAATTATACAAAGTTCTCCCTTTGTTTCTGTTTAACTTTTTTGTTAGTACGAAATATTAATTTAAATTTCTATGGATAAACACGGTAAACGCATGTGTATCCACACAAAGCATTATTGGGCACATAACTGTCAGTTTTGCTTTTACAGTTTGCTCTTTATCAGCTCTTTTAAGAGCTTTAAATTCCATCAGGAATTCCAACGTCAAAAGAAGAGCAAAAAAGAGATTATAAGAAGAAAAATGTGTGTTGTTTTCTTTTTATTTCCTTACTCTCACAAGTTAGTTTTTATCATATTAAATATTACATAAATTTAAATATTAACCCTTCGTCTGCATTTCTGAGTCGAAATTTTGGCCCTATATTAAACTTTGAATTCTGCAACGCAGTAAAAGCTAAGTTAGCAAAACAGGTTTAATTGATACAATTTACTCTTACTTTAACTCTGATGTCAAAAATTTTCCTTTTCACTTTCTTTAGCATCTAAATAAATATTAAATAAAATAGTGAGACAGAAAAGATAAAAATTTCGACTTGGGTGGATTAAAGAGAGTCAAAAGAGATTATAGATTTCCGAATATCAAAATAGATGTCCAATAGAATAGTAAGGCTGAAAGTAGAATCAAAATTTCGATCGTTAGTCAATTTTGGGAACAGTTGAAATTTCAATTGGTGCAAATTTTACTAAGAAAAAAAATGACAAACATTAGGTGCTAAACGACGTTCTAACAACACTAAGAAAAAACACTTGAAAATTTATTCATGGAATATAAAGTTTACTTCTGTGAAATAAAATTCATTTTTGTGAACAGACTTTATATTCGACAAGTAAACTTTATATTCGACAAGTAAACTATTCTTTTCTCAGTGTAGAGACCTGAAGTAATGAGAAAAATTTTTGGCCCAATTTTTTTACTCATACATGGGAAAAAAGTGGTACTTTCCACGGAGCAATCCGCGTTAACGCAAAACAGAGTGGTAGACGGAGGGTTAAACAATTCTTCTGAAATGAGTCTTTCTCCAAGACTCGACATAGGGAAAAAACGACGCCGAGTGATTATTTGTTATCATCAAGGTAAGACAATGGTTTGTGTAATCTTGAGATTTTTCATCAACCCTTCAAGTTCGACAGAACTCGCAGGGTTGATGTAGAATCGAAATTTCGACTCGGTGTGTAGCAAGGCGTGCTACAATAATGGTTCTCCAGGGTGTGAAAATCGAGTGATAAATTCGCCTAATCGATCCGTTCTTCTCATCTCTACCTATTTGCTCGTTTAGTTCGGTATGAAGTAACTTCGTTCGGAAATATAGCTCTCGAACTCGCTCCGCGGCAGGAACAACTCTCGCGCTCGTGCATCTTCTGATGGCAAATAGTAATATAACATGAGGTCAATAATAACGACTCTTGACTCAAGCGAGCGACTAAAAGTGGCCGAGAGGCGAAAGCCGCGGCCTGAATTTCAGGGATGCCGCCGTTCGATCGATCGGGATTCTCCTGAATTAGTTAGGACACAATGCGGCCTCCTCGGGAGAGACAGTTTCATGTTGGCGAGCGAAGAGCCCCCGCGACATTCAAATGCCACGCGTCGGAACGCGACTAAAATTTTCACCGCGGCGACCCTATTCCCGCGGACTGTCGCGCTACGTTTCGCGCGAATGCGAAATCCTCTCGCAAAACGTGGACATTTCCGTCGCGGAAGCTCCTCTCGACCGGCTCAAAGAAACAGAGTCTCCGGGGCAAGTCGATACGCACCGACCAAGTCGCGCGCGCTTTTCTCTCAATTCCAATCTGCGTGCAAAAAATCGCCATGGAAATTCATACGCTCGCAAAAATGAACAAAATAAAAGTACCAATTCCGCGTACTTAAGGGTACTGGAGGGTCAGATTACCTGAAAATTGTGCCTATTTTTTCACAATTTTTTATGACAAACTGAATGAATATGCAAAAGTGTTATTTTGACATGTATTTATACAACATATAAAGAGAAGAAAAATATTTAAATTTTGATGATCAAATATTCAATATAAGTGTATATATATTGTACATGCAATTAAAATATATTTTGTTTTTCTTTTCAAGGTCGTCATTTTGTAGTAATATCTTGACTCTCGGTGGTTCAATTAATTTTAAGTAGAAAATTTCCATAAATTTGTCGTTATCGTGTGAACCATTATAACAATTATAATAGAAATTGAG